AATGAAGATGCTCAGATGACAAGAATAAACATAGTACAGTTGCACATATACGTGTATGAGTATATGTATGTATATGTACCTATCTATCTATATCCACATCTATATATATCTCCACGTTCAATTATAGCCTTCTTTGGGGGAGAGAGAGAAAGCAAAAAATAAAGTAAAAAGTACACAGAGAACAAAAGAAAACCAGAAAAGAAAAGCTGGACAGCTTTGAAATCAACGTGTAGTATTTATTAAGTAGGTTTTCTTTTATTGAAAATGTATTGTTTTATATTGAATCTTCTCATGTTCTGCTGTGTACATAGCAATGTTTCCTTTTTATTTTCTTATTATGTATTTAAGCTTAAAACAAATTCTAAAACTTAAAAAAAATAGCTTGGTCCTGAAAAAAAAATGCGAGGACAATTCCCTTCACTTCTTTAATGTGTGTGTTTGGGCTAGGGGAGGAGGGGAGCATGGATGCGGAACATTATACATATTTTTTTCAATCTACTGATTGGCTTTGCTGAGTTTTTTTGTTTTCTTTTTCTTTCTTTAAAAAATTCTTAAAAAAAAAAGATTAAAAAAAATTCTGTTTTAAGGAATGACTCCAAGGGGGAGAAGGGGAACAATATAGAGGGATATTTACATGACATAAAAACAAAAGACAGTAATAAAAATCTAATTTTTAGAAAGCAAAGCAGCTAAAAATTTCTTGCCTTGCCCTAATGATTATTAATTTCATCTTCCAAAAAATGGAAGAGCCAACAAAGAAAACTGCCATTCTGGATCTGATTTGCACCAACAAGGAGTCACTCTTTTGCTGGGGTGGAAATGATAGTAACCTTAAGAAGAAAAAAAAGAAAAAATGGGGCAGCTAAGTGGTGCAGTAAATAGAGCACTGGCCCTGGATTCAGAAGGACCTGAGTTCAAATCCAGCCTCAGACACATAACACTTACGAGCTGTGTGACCCTGGGCAAGTCACTTAACTCCGTTGCCTAGCCAAAAAAAAAAAAAGAGAGAGAGATTTCTCCGTCTTAGAATGTGTGAGAGAAAACAGGAAAGTAATATACCTTAGATTTTAGTAGAGAAAAATTCAAAGGGTACAGGGAAAGAATATGTAGGATTCAAATTGTCTGAAATACTGTGAAGTCAGTCCAAAAGAGATAAGAAGTTCTAAAGAATAGACAACTGAAGACAATAAAACAAGCATTTTTAAAGCACCTATCATGTACCCAGCACTGTGCTAGGAACCAGAAGTATTAAGATGAAAATGAAATAGTCCTTGCCCTTAAGAGGTTCGTATTCTATTGGCAGAGGCAAAATGTACATGTTTAAGTATAAATAAAATACCAAATAACATTGGCGGGGGGGACTAGCAGGTAGGGAATTGGGAAAGGCTTCACAGAGGTGACTAAGTTTTGAAGGAAACAAGAGATTCAAAGGGGTAGGAGGAAAAGCATTTCGGGAATTGAAGCGCAAGACAGTCAGGAAGAGGTAGAAAAAGAAATAAACAATGTCAATGCACAGAGAAGTCACCAATTAACTTAGATTTAATTTTAAAAGATATACATGGCAAGGTCTGGTAAGTGTAGTGCCATTATTAACTTGGAGAACAGCTAAACAAATTGTGATGCACTGGTGTACTGGAATATTATTGTTCTGTACAAAACAATGAACATGTTGAATATAAGAATCATGGAAAGATTTGCGTGACTTTACACAATGAAATAAGCAGATCCAAAAAAAACAGTTTAAACAACAACAACGTAAATGAAAAGAACAACCACAAAGCAAACAAATATGAATGCTACAAAATCACAAAAAACAAGCACAGCTCCAAGGAAAGATACAAGAGGAAACTTCCTCTCTACTTCTTTGCAGGGTGGGAGGTCTTTGGGCCCGTAATATTACACATATTTTCAGACTTTTTCAAATTTTCCATCAGTTTTGCTCATTTTTTTCTCTCTTTTTTTCTTTAAATAATACTATTACATGGGATAGCTCTCAGGGAGGGGATAAGGATAAGCAGAGAAATTTTGGTGAAGTAAAAAAGGTATTATTAAATGTGTATTTTTAAAAAAGAATAGTATGACTTGTACTAAATCACACAAGGAATGGAGGCTGGTATGGAATGAACAAAAAGGGCTGGGTTTGGGTTTTTTGTTGTTGTTGTTGTTGTTATACTAGGCAGAGAGAAAGATCGAAGAAGTATCAGGAAGTCTGCTTGGGAAGAATAAGATGATGATTACAGAAAACAAAGAAAAAGTAAAACTACTGCCAAGAGGAATTTTATCTTTGGACTGTAAATGGTAGTACAAATATGGTTAACAAAGAAAATCATGCTACTTAACTATCAAAACCAAATATCAAAATCGAAATCCTCATTAATGATGTGTAATTCTCAGAATGTTAGTGTGTAGATTATAACAGTCCCTAGCTAATCTTCTGATCAAATTCTCAGTAACTCAACCCTCTTGTTAAGTCAAGTATAAATTCAGTAGGTACATTCTGTAATACCAACTCACTGTTGCCATAACATACTGTTCTTCACAGGCAACAGTGATGCTACTGACCCAGTATAAGCAGAACATAAACTCAAAACTGCTTTTCAAATGATGGTAATGAGATATATCTGGAGTTGTCCACATTCTTTCAATCTATATTTCCCAATGACCAAGGGCTTACTTTCGTGAGATAATTAGCAGTGATTAGGCATGCAATTTGCAGTCTTGGAACAGAGGCTTTTATTTTTTGTGCCTTGATGATACTTATGAGGGATATGTTTAACATGGGACAAGGTTATATAATGAGGTTATATTATAATACACTCTGAGATTTCTTATAGTTCAATCTAAATAACATCATAAAATAAAACTGATTATATTTTAACAGAGAGGAAATTAATATTTACTGATGTGGGAGTATTTCCAAATAAGCTATATCTATAAAGACTAATTACTTGTTAAAACAAAAAACAAAACCAGTACCAACCAAGAAAATATAAAGTAAGCAGTTGAGGCAACTCTGATTTGAGTTGGAAAAAATAGGAAAAGAACAAAAGAACACATATTGACAAAGACTATTAAACACTTTTCTTAAGAAGTTTAACTGCTAAATTAATTACTTCAATGAGATCAAAGGATCCTACAAATTGACTCAGCCAGCAAATACTTGAACTCCTTGCTGCCAAGTAGACATATTAGAGCAACAGCTTAAGAATAGTTTAGGGCATAAATTTTTTTATGATCTTAAGGAAAATGAGAGTAGAAGAGAATGAGCAATGTAACGTCATAATGCAGCAAGAACAGTAGAGGGAAAAACAAATTTGCAGAAAGTTTGGCAGGAGACTCAAGTAAAATCAATGGACAACATTCTAAGGATAAACTTAGAAAAGAAACAAACTAGCAAACAAAGGATAGGTGCATTGCAACTGATATAAATGTCTCCTAAATCGATATTTCCAATCCTACACCCCTACCTCATTGCCAAATCTTCCTGGAAGTCCTGCAAGAATTGTAAAATCAAGACTTCTGGTCAAAATGGTAGCCTGCATGGGAGACAAGGCTGTCCAACTCCCATAACTACTCCAGCAAAACCCTACAATCTGTACCAGAATGAATAATGATGAAGAATAAGAAACTATAGTAAGTGAATTCTTTCACCCCAGAAGGGCATAACAGGTCAGTCAGATGTCCATAGGCAAAAGAAAGGGGGACTTCCAGCAAAGCCAATGCCAGCTAAGAATAGCCTCTCAATGAGACCAGAAACTGGCTAGAGATATGTATAGCCAACGAGACTTTTGTGTCCGAAGGCAGCAAGAGTAAAGGGCAGCCCTGAGAAAGCCCTGGAGTGCGGACCTTTGAAGTTCTAGGGAGCAGCAGTGGGCACTAACTGGCACAGAGCAGCAAAACTCAGACCATGAAACCAGAGTCCAAGGGCTCTGAGGTCCCCAATCCTCTGTCCTAAGATGCCAGAAGTCCCTGAGGATCCAGTATTCTGAATCTCAAAGCTCAAAACAGAGTTTGAACTGCAGGAGACAGAAATTCGTGCAGAAACTCAAGGTGAGAGCTAACAGGGAAGACTACCCCCTCAAGACAAAGTGTAACAGAAGGTCAAGCCAGGTCCTGGAACAAAGCCACAATTCAGCAACTACAGATGGATAGGTGAGAAAATCAAAGAAAAACACGATATATCAAAAAATTATGTAAATCTACATATCTCCCCCAAAGGAGTAACTGCATACCTATGGTAAGAAGAGAGTCAAAGCAAAAAAAAATAGACTTTCCAACGCAACTACATAATGAAGGGCTAAAAAAAATGAAATAAAAGATCCTGATGATATAATTGAAATAAACAGCTTAAAAGAGAAAGCAGCAAATATTACTCAGGCAATGGACTCCCTGAAAACTAGAACAAACCAAACAGAAATCAACGGCTGAGACAAGAAAAATTATAACAAATCAAAAGACTGGAAAAAAAGATAGAAGATTCTTTATTGAAACAATCAAAAGGTCCCCCTTTCTAGCTCAAAAGGCAAAAAGTGTTTGTGAACTTATTTTTTACAGTTTAAAGTTGTAAACAAAAGCTAAAATATTCACACTGAACAATAATTATGAGTGGGTACTTTCTCACATGACTCAAATAGACAACTCAATTTCATAGCAACAGGGATTATAAGAATAACAAATTCAAAGAAGTGAACCTTGGACATCAGTTTCAACATTTCTCTCTTTTCCTAAATCAGCTAACAGTGAAGAAATTGATTCATTTGAATTGTCCCTTCATTTCATGAGGCTGAAAAGCAATGTAATAGTCAAAAAGGTTAAGAAGGAGTTAGAAGAAAAGGTGTCATCTAGGACAAGTCATTCTATGGACAATTTTTAAATGGTTATGTAATATATATTTATAATTCTGTAGAGTTTTTTGGTAAGTAGTTATTACTTAGAAATAACAGACAGCTATAAAGAAAAGCAAGAGAATATAGATGAGTACAACAAAGAAAATATACTACCTGTATATCCTTCTTAACAGGTTTAGTTTTGTTATCCACAATTTTTTTCCTAAATTCAAGAAGAACTTCTTTGCAGTCCTCAAGATGAACTTCCGGCTCCCAAGTATCATCATCAGAAGTATATCCTTTCCATCGAACTTTGTAAAGAATTTTACCCTGTAACGAGAAATAAAAAAATCTGTATAAAAAAAAATGCCAAACCAAGGTTATTTGCTCATTGTTCCTTAGTAAAACCACCCACCAAATTATAAATTCTCAGTCTACGACAAAAGCTAAACCACAATTCTGTTTCTAAATGGAAGTTTCTAATTCTACACATTATCTAAAACAACATATTCTATGCTTTATTCTGAGTAGTATAATTCCACAGGCTACATAATGTTCAAGAGAAAATTTCCATGGTAGTAACTATTCACTAACTCCGATTATCTTTGAGAGAGGGTCAGGAAATTTGAGTGAGGGGAAATGGGGGAAAAAAACCCTGGGTACTCTAAACTCCTATCATAATCACAATTACTATATAGCTCATGAGTTTCATTTCTCTCAAGAGAATGGAGTCATATATGAACTAAACTAGGGATCACAGCCCACTCTGGCACTATGGCCAGAACAAGGTCTCTCTATTCGAATGTGCTAAGTCCTTCTCTTTGTAATAACCTCACCCTACTATCTAGGCTCCTAACCAACTAGTAGCTAACCATTTCCCCTGAAGTGATACCCCCAACCCTTCCTTCCCCCTACCAAAAGACTTCCTGTTACACTCCTAGTTTTTCTATGTCTCCTCCATCAAAGTATACCTTATCATTCTGTGTGATCCCTTCTTTACTGTCTTCCTTCTATCACATTTATGACTTTAATACTAATAGCACTAATTCGCATCAATATATTCATTATTTCTAATCAACAAACACTTATCAAGCACTCCCTACACGCAAATCAGTATCCTAAGCTATGGGGGATAGACACAAAGTTAGGTAAGTCATAGTTACTGGCATCAGGCATCAGTGAGGCTAATACAGTTTAAGATCCAAAATACCGCTGGCCCAAATTAACTTCTGAAACAAGGGTATAAAATTTGTTCATATCTTGAAACTAGTAGTTTAAGTACAAAGAGTGTAACAGATCTTTTTCTTGAGTTGTATATTCTTAATCTCTATGAAGTTCTCGCCCTTTAAAAAAACTTGTTTATTCACATTAGCAAAATAAAGTTAATATTTTACAGGCATAAACAAATCAACTACTTGATGAATTAATTGAGGAATACTGACAAAGTCAAAAAACCTAGATTCAAGGATGTGATTAAGTTACTAAACTTCTTAGAACTATACATACACATAAACATTTGTATAGATTTTTTAAAAAATTCATTTATTTATTTTTGGCGAGGCAATTGGGATTAAGTGACTTGCCCAGGGTCACACAGCTAGTAAGTGTCAAGTGTCTGGTCTGAGACTGGATTTGAACTCAGGTCCTCCTGACTCCAGGGCCAGTGCTCTATCCCACTGTACCACCTAGCTGCCCCAACATTTGTATACATTTTAAATCTATTTTTGATGAACTTGGTGTCAGACCTAAATTCCACAACTAGGCAGAATGAGATGTTTTTTGACTTGAGGCTTGTAATCTAGTTATAAATATAAAATTTGCTATATCCCCTTTACTATTCTTAATTATCTGTCTCATTTCCTTCCTTCTCCCTCCCTCAGGTTTCCCTTCTTCTACCTTCTTCCCTGTCCCCAAAAATATTCTGTACTTGGCTTCCCAACTGAGCTTTTGGGCATCATTTCAGTTAATTCTCTTTCCCTCCTCTTCCCTCAACCATCTGCTGAGCTTCCATTCCAAACATCTGCGTGTCCATGGTCAAGTCCTTAACTTCCCTCAGTCTCAGTTTTCTCATTAATAAAATGGGAATAGTATCATCATCACAGAGTTGTTGAGTATTCAATGAGATACATAAAATGCTTAGTAAACAATAAAATGATATGTAAGCCTCAATTATCATTTCTAATATACTGATGCTTTAAAGGAAGATGCTCCAAGAAACATCTGAGAAAGATCGCAATAGGGAAATTCCTTCTACCAGAAGCAGAAAATGGACTAAAGAAGTAATAACTATGTCCTAGGGAATTATTTGAAGAACATAGATGTTCAGTGACTAGTTTGAGGTGGCAAAGTTATTAAATGTAAAAGAGGCAGAATCCGAACTTTTTTTTTAATTTTTGAAGCTGACTTCAAGCTCAACACTCTATGAACTACACCACACTGCATCTAGTGCTTTACTGACACTACAGTATAGTACTGTATTGTATTATAATGAATTTTGTGATTCTACTAATTTGGGATTTTCTAAAACACTGTGATCAATAAGAGCTGTATAGGCACTCAAATCTAGACAAAAAAGCATAAAATCATAAATGCCTTCTAAATACATTTAACTAATCAATGCAAAAATACATAAGCCTATTTATTAACTTGGTATTTGTTAGTACTACATAGGAATGCTAATAATTTTTATGCTTTTTTATCCTGCAATTCTACTGTAACTCCTCTCAATTATTTTTGATGGATTCTCTGGAGTTTTCTAAGTAGACCATCATATCACTTGCAAAAAAGGATAATTTTGTTTTCTTTTTGCTAGCGTTTGTATTTTTTATTTAATCTTCTTGTCTTATTGAGAACTCTATCAAATAACAGTGGGAAGGGGGAAGCAATTCATTTGGGCAATATTGAGTTTATAGACAAAGGGATAACTAAATGAAAAAAAAACCCAAACCAAAAACACATGACAGCTACATTAGGAGTACTGAACAGCTAGCAACTCAATTCCCACATCAATTGTACTCAAGTTACTTTCTCATGTCTATGTTTCATATTACTAAAGCCAAGGCTGGCTCTGTGTTTACAGCTGCTTTGTAGGTTGGTTTAAAATAACAGTTAAGTGGAGCAATGTTCAATAATATAAGGAAGCAAGTCCAACAGTTGTTGTCAAAGATCTTCAAAAATTTTGTTTTATACTTATCAGTCAGGTAAGTTAAAAACAATTCTACACTTCTGCATACAGAACTGCATATACTCCCTAATACATCAAAAGACCTGAAGTCAAACACTTCAGACCAAGATCAACTTATGTTATGTGCTACATACCTTTCTTAGATTTATTACATACAACTTCCAATATGCTTTTAAAACAAATTCGAATAAGCAAATGAGGAAAAATTACACTATTTTATCAAGTAAACATACCTACTTTAAATTCAGAATAATAAACTGACATTTAAATAATATAGCACTTTATATTTTACAAAGTATCACACATACATTGATTCTAACAATGTTGTCCCTAATTTAAAGATAGTAACCTGAGGTTTAGTGTATAAGGGTCATATAACTAATTAGCTGAAAAGACAGAATTTAAACTTGGGCCCTCTATCTCCAAATCCAAGGAATGAATGTTCTTTCCACTATCTTGTAACTGCCCTAAAAGCAATTTGATAAAGTCTCATTAACACTTCAGATTCTAATATATTATAATTTAAATCATGTACCCTTAAAACATTAAAAGAAATTCTACAGTGAATCTGATAGAATATAATTAGTCTGTAAACCTGATGTTTCCCAGAGTTCACCTAAAGAATAAAATGTGAAGTGCAGTCAAATGTGTACAAAGTTACTCTGAAGAGATGGAGAACTCTGTGCAGTGAATATGTTGTTAGCAAAATCTGTATGTGTGTGATACTTTAGATCCACATAACTTTTTGAAGGAAATGTCTGGATATATGGAGTTTAAAAATACTATACAGTTCTACCTTCCAAACTTCTGTCAATGGCACCAATCCTCTCTTAGTCCCAGGCTCCTCAGATCAACATCACCTTTCTTTTCCCTGTCTTTTTCTCAGCAATGAAAAGTTCTGTCGATCCTACCTCTCCAATCTATCTAGCATGTCTTTCCTTTCTATCCCCCTGCCCTAATTTCATTCTTGTCTGAATTCCTTCCTGTAATAGCCTTCTAGTTGGTCTCCAAGGCCCTAGTCTGTCTCCCCTTTCCAACTTATCTTTCTGAAAGGTTCCTGAGTAATAGTCATAACGTGTAACACATGACACATGCCTCACCAAGGCATTCTCCCCATTCAAAAGCCTTCTGTGGTAAGCATTCCCTGCTTACCAAATACACAACAAACTCCTATGCTTAGCATTTAAGGCTCTCCACAATCTGATTCCCAAACTACCTTACCAGTCTTCCAGTCAGACTACATTACTTCAGTCAGTCAGTCAATAAGCATTTATTAAATGTCTACTCTGTGCCAGCACTGTGATAAATGACAACCCCTGTCCTCAAGGAATTACAATCTAATGAGAGAGAACACACAAACATGTACAAAAAAGCTATATAACAGGATAAATGGGAAATAATTAATAGAGGCAAGACACTAGAATTAAGAGTGGTTGGGGAAAGCTTCCTATAAAGGGGGGATTTTAGTTGGGATTTAAAAGAAGCCAGGAAGAGGAGATGAGAAGGGAAAGTGTTCCAGGCATGGGAGACAGACAGAAAAAAACACCCAGAGATGAGGGATGGAATATCTTGTTTATGAGGCAACCAAGAGGCCAGCATCCCGGATGAAAAAGAAAGTGGCAGGGAATGAGGTGTAAGAAAACTAGAAAGGTAGGAGGGGGCTTGGTTATGAAGGGCTTTGAATGCCAAACACAGCATTTTGTATTTGCTCCTAGAGGTGACAGAAAGCCACTGGAGTTTATTGGGGGACAGGGAGGAAAAGGTATATGTGGGTGACAAGGAAATCAAGAAAGAGAGCCACACAAGGCAACATATAATAGAATTAAATGAGTGTTTAGAAAAATCCTGTAAGAAATGGAGGGAGGGGGAGGAAAGAGATGATCACTGCTGGCTAGGGCTATTCTATCATTTATAACTAAAAATTAAGATTCTGTTCTTCCTTTTCAACAATAATTCATTCATATAGTCTTTTTGCTTTACACCTTCAACCCTCTGTGACTTCCTCAAAATGTTTATCGAGGCCCCAATCCATTTCATCCTATAGGCAAGTTTACCGTCATCATCTTCCACTCCTCTCATCAAATACTATTTTAAAAATAATTAAATCTTCCTATACTCAAAACCGTTCTTAACATTAAGCCAGAGTCCTCATCCAGGCCTTAAATATTTCACATCTTAACTGTACTAACCCCTGAACCCACCAACACCACCACGAAACCCTTTATTTGTATTCCTATTTCCAATCTATTCTATTCGGCAAGTGAAAAGATCTTCAAGCCTTATTAAAATATCACCTCTCCCACCCAACCTGCCAAAGCTCCAGTGGCTTCTCACTGCCACTTTATAAATTTCTGACTGCCTACACCTTTCCCCCCACCACGTACCAATGCACCCTTTGCAACGATATCTCTCCACTGCAAACCCCACTCCCATTTCACTGGCTCACTGCTGAACGCTCGAGAGTCAGCTAGCATTTCATTAAGTGCCTACTATGCGCCGGGCACTGTGCTAAGGCTGGGGATACTGGCACTCCCCTACCCCCTAAAAAAGGGAATAGTCCCAGCTCTCAAGGAGCTCACAGTCGAATGCCCCATGTCAGAAATGACCTCGGCCTCTGCTGGACACTCACTTCTGTTTAGAGACTAAGCCCACTGAGAAGCCCATCGGCGCTATCCCAGCTCTGGCCACTCCAGCAATTTCCCCGCTTCCACGCCCCCAAAGCCTTGACAAGCTGTGTCACCGTCAGCCCCTGCAAAGTGGGTTTCCTGGGCTGAGAGGGTGGGCAGAGATGGGCGTCGACAGGACACGGGAGAGCTCTGAGAGTGGGATGCTCCGAGCGGAGGTAGGGGGTGAAAGGAGGCCGGGCTGACTGGACTCTCCCAAGCCTGGGCCGGGGGGAGCACCGCCCCCACCCCGGGGAGTCTGGGCCCCAGCCGGGGATCCAGGCCCAGCAGCTGCCATTCCCGCCCCAGCCCACCCCACCCGCGGCGGAGCCACAGGATTTGGAGGCAAGGACCAGATCCTTTTCTCGGGGCCTTCAAAGGGCGGGAGCTTAGCCCGACTGGTCCACCGCTTCGGGGAGGGCGAGTCCGCGGCACGGGTCCTGCACTCACCGCCTCGGTCTTCACGTCTAGGATCTTCTCCACCTCGAACACATCCTCTTCGTCTTCCTCGCTCTCCCCTACGGCCTCGGCCGCCCGCATGACGTCGTCCTTCTCCAGGCCTCCCGCTTCTTCCCCTACTCCGCCCGACGCGTCCTCGCTACAGCTATCCGAGCCCGAAGCCGCGGCAGCGGCAGCGGCACTGACAGCGCCCCCGCCCGCGCCCGCGCCCGTAGCCGCCGCCATGATGTAGGAATTTCAAACCAACAGAGCAAAAGTGGCTGCGACACACGCCTCTCCGGGGTATCTCGCGGGGAAGAGGTCGTCACCAATTGGCTTTGACGGCAGAGCTACGCCATAGTAACCGCGCACCAATGGAAGCGACTCTGCCGCCCAGGAGGGAGGGCGACTCGCTGGAGCCAATTATTGTGCACGCTTTTGGAAATGGGGGCGGGTCTGACTGCGAAACTCCGGAGGGGAAGGCAGAGTCACGAGGATCACGTGGGGAAAGCGGGAGGGGTTGATGGCCGATTGGGGGAGGAGAAAAAGGAGGAGGAGAAGAGTGGGGATAAATCAGCTGGAGAGAGGAGGCCGAGCTTGGGGCCCTTTTAAGAGTTGGGATGGAGGGAGAGGAAGAAGTGAGGCTTTCTCTAGGGAAGTGACTGGGGTCCCTAGTGGGAGCTTTTCGATGAAAGGGGTTGGGCCGAATATGGGTCGTTTTTCGGGGAAAGAAGCCAAGCGGGTACTCGAGTGTGTCGTGAAGTTTGAGTGGGCCCTGCTGGGGACCTCGGAGATCAAGAGGAGGCGGAGCTGACTGGAGGGGCGGGGCTAGTGCGCTGTCGTCACAGTTAGGAGGGGCTGGAGGGCTCTTGCCCAGGGCTATGGGGCGGGGCTAACTCTTCGCCCTTCTTAGAAGGCGGTTAGGATCGAGGGATGTGGCCTCCCTAACCAGGGCCTCGAACGTCAGGTCCCTCCTTCCCGGCCAGCCTTCTGTATGGCCAGGTCCTCCCAACCCCAACTCTTGTCTCGTCTCTCTGGAGCTGCAGTCTCCTACCTATATTAGCGCTTCCCTGTGGATCATACCTAGGAAACTTAAACTATTTCATCATCTATTCAGATTCCAAAGTCATCCTTCTAAGACACTCTAGACATCTTGCCCACTTCGAGCCCCTTGATACCTACACCTTCCCCTAAATTCATAAAAGCAATAAGGTGACCCGAGAAGCACGACCCCCTTGCCTTTAGTAGAGAGTGTAACCAGGGCCAAAAAGTATTCGAGAGCAGGAATAGCTTTGGTGAATCACTGCAGTTTATATTCATTTCCCACAAGTGTAAATAATTATTAAAATAAATAATTAAAATGGTGATATTGTCCAGCCGGTGGTCATCAATACTGAGGGAGGAGTGGTTGGGAAGAGGTGTTTTTTTTTTATGATCTTCACTTTGCTAAACCTTTTTAAAAATGGTAGTTATATTTTAATCGACAATTGGCAGAGTGATAGGAGCTAGAAGATCAGATTCAATAAATATTTATTGTGTGCCTAGGAAGCATAGGTAGTGTTTTTTCCTCACTGAACCAGTTCAAATAAGTTTCGTCAGTCAATAAGCATTTTATTAAGTGCCTGCTATGTGCCAGTCACTAGTTTTGTATGTCAGATTCTTTCCAGAGTCTTTGCCTTCATGGACTTGGAGAGAGATTGAAATGACATTTCTTCTCATTTGAGGATGGAAGCCAAAAGAGCCCAGATCTCTCTTCTCTTTAGCTCTAACCAACTCTGCTTACCCCTTCTAAAGGTGCAGGGCCTTGAGGAATCAATCTCCTCAAGTGAGAAGAGAGCTCCATACAATTGACCATTTGAACGGAGGGTTAGACAAGGTGCACAGGGCTCTCACTGACCTCTGACTCCAGAGCTAGCATACTTTCCACTATTTCAAATTGCAGTTTAGGAGAGAAAATCAAATGTAATCCACAGGTCAAGAACTATTTGCATAAGATTCTCCTCATTGGTGTAATTTGATTACTCAATGCTCCAGATCTAAGTGAGAGAGCCTTCATGATGACAAGAGCTTGAGGGAGAAAAGATAGCTTGATCTTGTGGATTCTGGCTTCCTGAAAGAAGATATGGTTCCAGAGTCTCTTCAAGTCCCTGAAAGAATATTAAGACTCTAGGAAGAAGCTGACATGTAGATAAACCAGCACCTCAATCATGTCCCTATACCCATCTTGCTACAGTAGAGACTTAGGGTGTAATGCAGAACATTATTTTGCCATTTAGGTAGTAGGGCCCTTTAAGCCATGGAAAGCAAAAGTTAGTGCTTAATCTTGCCCCAGACCTCTTTCCTCCTAAATCTAAACAATAGTGAAATGTACTCTTGCATAGCTCAGCCCAGTACCTCCAACGCAAATGGATAAGAAAACTTGCAATATAATTGCTTTAGATAATTATGTTTATACCAGAGAGCAGGACACCTGGTCTGGTTTGTGTGATCTCTGATCCGTAATAATGGGGTGCTTGGGTGCTTGTGCTTGTACTTGTGCCCCAATTTCTCCCTAGTCTCAGAAACAGTCTCTAACAACCACTCCTCAGCCCAAGGACACTGTGCCTAGCAGTTATTCATGCATGGGCCTCAGCATGACCCTTATCTCTCTCCCTGGTACAGCTACACAGAGCTGGGCTGCTCAGGCCCCAGCCCTCAGATCATGTCTCTGGAAGCCTCCCAATTCCTCAATAAGTTCCTGTGTTGTGAGAAAGCTTTCCCTTGTTGCAGAGCATTCTCTCATCAAGACAGAGGGAGAGGGGTGTCCTTGACCAGCCCAAGGACTCTTCCTCCTGCCAGACTCCAAAGATCCATCCCCCTCCCTGTCCTGTATACTCCCTGTACTTTCCCATCCATAGCCCCCAAAGACACCTGCATGCTAATAAAATCCACATCTCAAATTACGTCTGGGTCTCACTTGCTGATTTCTCGGTACAAGGGGAATTTCCTTGAATAAGATCTGGAACTTTCTTGATTGAGTTGAAATATCTTAATCTCAGTAAAAGAACTTTACTCTGTGTATTCTCTAATGTGTTTTTAACTATATAACTTCTCTGGTTTCTGTTTGATATTGGCTTGGATAAATAGGTTGATTTGCCATTGCCTACATATATTCTTCGTAAAACTAGAATTTGGTGGGAAGGGTGCCAAGCTTTGGAAATATAGCTTGAGGCACTCCTTCCCCATAGCGATCACCAACTCAAGCTGAACCTAAAAATTAATCCCTCTACACTTATTTAGAGGGGCAGATATAATTCCAACCTAGTACCCTTTCTCAGAGGAGAGCAGAGTGGCCAAGTTATTGCTTCCACTCCTGGGAGAATCAAAATATCCCTCTGAGAAGGCTGGGTGGAGGTGACTCCACTGGGTGAATTGCATCTAGAGAGACCCATGTGGATACACAAAACCTACATGGGAAACAAACACACCACCTCCCTGCAAAATAGAATAAATGTACAAGGCACAGAGAGTCTTAGCACAGAGTCATTCCAGCTTGTTAGGACCTGCCAGACCCGGGTGCTACTAGCATAGCCTTTGAGAACTCCATGTCCTCTGAGACCCTGGAGTAGAACTTTAATAGAAGCAGTACAGAATAAATGCATGAATATCATCCTTAGTTATATGAAAAGAACTTCCAGGGGGCCGTTAGGTGGCACAGTGGATAGAGCTTTGGCCTTGGAATCAGGAGGACCTGAGTTCAAATATGGCCTCAGACGTTTGACAAATTGTGTGACCCTGGTCGAGTCACTTAACCCCGACTGCCTCACCAAGAAAAGCAAAAAACAAACAAAAAAAAACTTCCAGGAAGAGAATAATAATAGCATGTATAAAGTGCTTTAAGGCTTGCAAAGCATTTTACAAGTTATCTCATTTAAGATACTAGTTTCTTGATACCCTTAAAGGCATAAACAAATTCTAAAAATTAGTAAAATTATCAGAAACTCTTTAAAAAGTTTTTAGGAGAAAGTGTTCAAAGAAATGAATAAAAGAGGTCCAATGCAATGAAAGAAATATTGTTAATTAGAAGAAGGGGGGTAGTTAAGGCAAAGCAAAAATATATCCAATAGTAACAGCAGAAATTAAGCTAGATCTCAAGATCCAACAAAATGGCTGTATAAAGGGGTATTGTAGCTCTGGCCACTTCTCTATTTGCCATCTTAGAGATTCAAGACACCTAAACATAGAAATACTGAAGAAAGGTCATTGAGTACATATTAACTTAATATTAATTAAATAGTTCATTGCATCTACCTCATGCCTTAGTCAAGAAACTGTCTCAGTAGAATTAAAGAGTTAAATCAGATTTAGGAGTAGAGGCAACAGAGAGAGCCTTACTTCCCCACAAGTCATTGGTTTAGACTGCCAGAAAGTAAGGGCCATTGGCTATAGAAATTCAAGTGATGGGACTTTTCCTATACAAGAAGGAAAGCTGAGAAGACATCTTTGTGAGGTGCTCCCCCATTCCCCCATACTGTGTTGGATGCAGACTTGGAGATTTAGGGCATCTCTTACTTTATCCCTGTAGGTCAGCTGTAAAGAATATCCTCTATTATTTTGTTTGAATGCATAAGTTTTGTTTATGGGCTCTCTCTCTCTCCTCTTTCTTCCCTAGCATTGAAACTAATTTGCCAAAGAATTACTCTTTTGGAGAGCTGTCACCAAAGTATACATTAAAATGGATAGGAGAATATGACCAATTCACTTTATTTTGAAAATCCTATAAACATAGAGAAAGAAAACTAATTCATGGGCACACTGAAGGAATTCAAAGGAGGAAATGAAATTAGCCAAAATGTCATGACATGAAATTAAGAAGGAACTGAGTATACCTAAGAAATTTCAGGTTAAGCCGTTAATGAGATTCAACAGTTGGAAATGTCAATGAAAATATGAACACAACATTTACTTTAATGAAAATCAGAATTATTTCATAATGTTACGGAATTTCAGGGAGGTTTCTCAGTGGCTATCTAGTTCAGCTGGTAATTGAAAAACAAAAACAAACAAACAAAAAGCTCCAAGATATATTTGACAACATTTGCTCAAAGTTCTCAGGTGAGAGGAAACGCATGATGTCCCAAGGTAGCTCGTTCCACTTTTGGATGGTTTTGATATGAGGTTTTCTTTTCTTTTTTTTTCTTCTGATATCAAGCTTAGATTTGTCCTATTTGCAACTTCTACCCTGTTACTTCTGATTCTGAATCCTGGGGCCAAGCAGACAGGTCTAATTTTTCTTCCATATGACATCTTTAGGTATTTTAAGACAATTAAAAAAGATAATTTTAAGACAATTAAAAATAAGTATATATGTATATATGTGTATGTAACATATATATATTGCATACCATGTGCCAGGGACTGTGCTAAGCACTTTATAAATACTATCTTATTTAATCTTCACAACAGCCCTGGGAGGGAAATCCTGTTATTATCTCCAATCTATAGTTGAGGAAACTAAAGCAGATAGATCAAATGACTTGCCCAGTCTGAGGGTGAATTTGAACTCAGATCTTCTTGACTCCAGGTCCAGGCTCTATCTACTGTACCACTTAGCTATCTCCAGGCTAAATTAATCCACAATTCCTTCAACTGATCCACATTTAGCATGAATTCAGTCACCACCTTGATTGCCTTCCTTTAGACAATCTCCAGCTTGTCAATGTTTTAACTAAACTATGGTACCCAGAAAAGCCAGAGCAAGAGAAGGCAAAGAACTTATAGTTTTCCAAGTGACAGTGAACAAAGACATGTAGGTCCAGAGCAGCAAGAACAAAGGCACCCTTCAGAAAG